ATTCTGGTTTCTGTTTTATATTAAAGAGGCCCTATTATGTTTTGGGGGGTTTTACCTTTCCCGATTGTTTTTCTGCATGTGAATGGGCTGCAAAGGATAAAATCCCAGAATTCCCTAAAGAGGGGGTTTCTCTGAGACACACACCACCCCCCCTTTTTGGAAACATATCCATGGACTCCTTTGTTTACTATTAACATAGTGACTCCACTATATAACACTCACATTTCTATTCGCTAGCGCTCCAACACATTGTACATGGGGCTTAGGGGGATCTCTAAGCGGTTGACAAATCACAACAGAGCTGGCAAGCTAACCGATCAGAGCAGAGTAGGCTCTGTTTTCAGACAGAGGGTGAAAAGAAGTGCTGCAGCACAGGCAGTATGAGAAAAATAAAGAGCTGTTTGAACATTAAAGCATATTCCACCGCTTTGTGGTTTTAGGAGATGTTACATAGATGTCTTTAAAGATTTCTATGGTGTACACATGCAATCACAGTACTCATTACATTCCCACACACACACATACATACACACATACACACACACACACACACACACACACACACACACACACACACACACACACATACACGTAAACACACACACACAAACACACACACACACACACACACACACACACACACACACACACACACACACACACACACACACACACACACACACACACACAGTCACACACCTCATCCCCATTCTAGCCGGCTCTCTGTCACGCTCAATTAGGCCTCTCATTTCCCAAGTCGCCCGCCTCAGTTGTGAAGCATCAATGTTATTTTTCTCTCTCACACACACACACAGCAGCCTCTCCCCCCTCCTCACCTCTTCCTCCCACCCGCCTCACCGTCACCATCTTATTGGCTGTCTCGACTGATTTACTTCAATTAGCCTCCCTACCAATAAGCTCTTTTGCATTTTGAATGCCTTTTGTCACAGGTGACATCACCACTTAGCTAGGGGAAGAAAAGGAAGACGCCTTTCCAACAATGTTTTAATGATCCAATTTTATAAAACACCCTGGGTTTGCGATTGTGAATATTTTATTCTATTTCGTTAATATTTCCGTTTTTTCTCACACTTTTTAACTTGTTGCCCCACACTAAAACAAAAGTACTCTTCACAACTTCCTCCCAAGCCTCGTTTCCAAGGTCGTTTCTCAAAATAATGACGAAGACATTTTTTCCAGGGATTGCCGCGGGGCAATTTTTATTTCCCATTACAGTAGAAATATAGCCGTTTTCTAATTAGCCTTTGTCTGGGTTTCTCGTGTTATTCATCCTGGGGATTCACTCCGACCTCCGCTGCAGCTGGCTCTGTACAGGAGCTTTATTTTAATAAAACAGGCTCTCAGCTACGAGCAGACGAGGAGAATAACACAGACAGGAGGAGAAGATATTCTGTGGAAATTAAACAGAATGTACATAACAGCCTCTGGCACTGAATCCATCTCTGTCAAGGCTAACCTTTAATTACTGAGCCCGGTGGCAGAGCACGCTGCCAGGGCTTTTGATCGATTTTTATTTTTCAAGTAACACGAACATGAAAGGAGAGTTTGAAAGTCGAGGGCCTCAGAGCTCCCAGTGATGGACGTCCATCAGAAAAAGGTTGAGTGTGTGTGGGAGCGCATAGTTGAGCTGTGCTTAGTTGAAAAGGTCAGTTAACAAAAATTGTGAAAAAGCTACTGTCTCTTTTACCTTTAGAGTGACGTTCTTAGTTTATTTTTGTAACAGGAAATATTGTTTTCATTTCGAAAGCTTCTAGTATGGTGACCGACAGGAGCAAACACCATTCCATCGCTTTCACAGTCATAAACGCTGTGCATGTTTCATGAAGTTGATACGGATTTTTCTGTATTTGCATGTGTTTTGACACATTTGTTAAAAAAAAAGTATTTGCGTACATTTTGAAACTGCAGCGCGTTTCTCCGAATAGAAGGGTTTTGGGTTGTTGTAGCACGTTTGCACCTGTCGGCCACCGTATGTTAGGACTGTGCTTTCGATCGATGTAGGATTAGCTACTGACAATTCAAACTCAACACTTCCTTTCTAATTTCACGTTAAAATCTTACCAAAAAAAAGGGAATTTCTCTCTTGAGCTTCTGTAATTGTTCAGTTTAATTGTCAAGGCAGAAACTCATAATCAAAACCACTTTCATTTTCAAGTTTTTCTTCAATATTTGGTATAACTTAAACTTTATTCTCCCCAATTAGAAACACACAGATTAAACTAAAAATGTTTTGAGGTGGAACATATTTGTGACTCTGTAATAATTTAACTGTAATTATCAATGCTGTTATCACCACAAACTAAATTCTATTAACTACCTTTTAATTATTGTGTTTAGAAGCACATCATTCAAAACCTGGACAAAATAAACCAAAACTATTATTATTTTTATATTTATCGCTCATCTTATTTTTGATTTTATTAACCCGTGTGAATCTGTGCTGTCTTGTTTTTCACTCTTACCCTGTTGCTGTTTAAACAATTGAATTTCCCGACGGGGATTAATAAAGGTCCATCTTATCTTATCTTATCTTATGTCAAGATGCCATCAAAGGACTTTTATCCAGAAGTATATAGTATAAACAAAATCAAGCTCCCAACAAAGCAGGTGAAAACAAGAATAATGTGAGCTCAGCTACGTACTGTACACATGTGTGTGTGGTAACTTGTCACAGTATGTGTAGGCGTGATGATAAACTGCCTCCATGAGGTTTGCCTCGTATGTCACTTTCAGGTTTCTCTCATTCCTATTAGGCTGGTAATTGGACTGCGAGCTGCCGATGGATGACTCAAAGCATTACCTCATCGTACCGGTCACGTGTGTGTGTGTGTGTGTGTGTGTGTGTGCATGCTTGTATGTTTGTGTGGTTGTGTGTACCGATGACTCATACTAGTAAAGACATCTGGAGACAAAACATTCTACTTTTACCAGCACCTCTTAATCTCAATTTGTGTGACTCTTTAGGAATGCCTGTAAAATACATTTGACCTTGAAAGATTTAAAAAATAAATGGAGACTAGAATTTGGCACACCATTATTTATTAACATGAAGATTATTGCTATGCTTACAAAACGTTGAAATTGCAACTGCAATATTTAGAAATAAATATTTACAGTCATAAATGGATAGAATGAATAATACAGCAGGCTAACAAAGCTTGAAATTGTCTGGAATTAAATTTCTCTCCCATGACACACACATACACACACACACACACACACACACACACACACACACACACACACACACACACACACACACACACACACACACACACACACACACAGCCACTTTCTGTCACCTTTCGTCATCCCCTTTTCTCCTGAAAGTGAGACATAGAAAGGTCAAGGATATTGCTGGTGTCGCTATAGAATAAGGAAAAAGATGAGTCCCAGGAGGAGGGAAATAGAGAGGAGATGAAGTCCACTGTGTAGAAAACTGATGGATTGATATTCTGTTGGAGCGGGTATAGACTGAAGGAGACATCACTGTCAGTCTGTCCGGTCATGAAACCCCCCTGAGAACTGATGGACCCTCACTGCAGTTGAGTTGTGGACAACCTTGGTTTATTACTGACAGCTACACACACACACACACACATTCACACACATGCTATCCGGGGTCCAGTGGTCTCCCGAGGCCTTACCTTTGTGCCGTTCTGTGTGTGTGCAGCCATGTGAGTCCAGAGGTTGCCATGGTCCTCTGGTTTACACCGCTGAAGGCACACATATGATGAAGACCCCGAGGTCCCGTTAGCGCGTGGGTCCACCATCCAGCTTTTATTCCCACTGTGCCCGGGTGACCTGACAATCCTGAGTGTCTCATGTATTCTGGTCAGCACTACCTCCTGTAGGAGAAGATTTATCCTTCAGAAGAACTAGGGCTTATTATCTCAAGTGTAATTACAATTAGTGTAAATGCTACAATATGCATAGATAGCTGTTGCCAACTTTAGATTTTGGCCGGCGCCATCTTTGTTTTCTGCCACCACAAGACTACAATATTTAGACATGAGGGTAGAGCATGGGAGGGACATGCATTGCTATGCCTCTATCCTGATTGACAGGCCGTGGTGTTGGCAGTTGTATTTTATACAGTCTATAGCTGTGAGCATTTTTTTCAAGATTGTTTCATATATAACATTCTTAGGGAACTCAGGAGGTAAACATATTACGAATTTCTCCAAAAAGTCAGTAAAAAATAATAGTTACGCACAAAATAGAAGAAGAACAATTATGTTTTTTTCTTTAGTCATTTGTCAATTTATATGAATTGGGACGCCAGTAGAGTACTGTAGGTATAAGATTTTCCAATATGGCACCCCTTTCATTACATAAAAGTTAACATTAAAACAGTTCTTCAGATTTCTGAACCCATAGAGCTTAAGAGTTGTTCTCTGGCTGAGTTTCTCCCCCCAGGCACAATTCAATATATAGTATAATACACCTTTCTACACAGGCCTATTGGCAAAACCGGGATCAAATATAATTGTGAAAGTTCAGCTTTGATGATGTGGTGATCGTTTCTCATGATGAGCTGCTTTCATTTTATATTTTAAATTATATAATAACAGATTTGCCATATTCCAACTGGAATGAATCAACTCACCTGTGTTATTGTGTATGTTTCCAGCCCCGGGCGTTCACCTATCTCCTTCGACCATGAGATCGTGATGATGAACCATGTGTACAAGGAGAGGTTTCCCAAGGTTTGTACTAGGAGACACACTTCCAGTACACAATTAAGTCTTTTTTCATGAAAAAAATAAACATTACAGTATTGTTCTATAACTGATCACTTGTACTTTTAAAGGTCTCAATTTAAAAAAAAAGTCTAGCTTTTAGGTATATATATTTTTTATGTTTAAAAAGGACAGTTTCAAATATTTAGTTAGAAGAGATTTTCTTTATTAACCTGTGCACATGATGTTTGTTGTCACTGTAGTCTCTCCATATGTCTGGATTGCGCGTATCTCTACTGTGACTCATCCTTGTCCCCCCCTTTAATTGCCCGCCCCCCTCCCCTCAGGCGACGGCTCAAATGGAGGAGCGTCTGGCTGAGCTGCTCTTCTCCTCGACCCCCGATAAGGTCTGCCCGCTGGCCGACGGGGTCCTGAGCTTCATCCACCATCAGCTGATAGAGCTGTCCAGAGACTGCCTGGAGAAAAGCAGAGAGGGCCTCATCACCTCCCGGTACTTCTACGAGCTGCAGGAAAACCTGGAGAAGCTGCTGCAAGACGTAAGTCCAGAAACATTCACTGCCCTGCACTCAGATACTTTTGTTTTAAGAAGGCAAAGAGTATTTCAAAGGTGACGTTAATGGATAAAGAAACCGTATCCTATTTGAACAATTACCATAAACTCACTTGAAACTTGATTGCATTCCTACTGGCTTTCTAGATCCAAAACGTTTAATATCCTTTGCATAAAAAAAGAAAATATATTTATTAGAGAAAATGAAGATAAATGTTTTATATCAAATGAATTACTCGAGGAGAAAACACATTTATTTGATATATAATATGTAGTTTATTTATTTATTTTTAATAGCTAAATGTCAAGGTAAGCTTATTTATGAAACACCATTGCAACACAAAGTCAATAAGAAGGGCTTTACCTGAGCCATTAAAACAACATTTAAAAAACAAACTCAGTAAGAGGAAGTGGAAAGAATTCAATAAAAACATCTGCAGCTATAATTGATTTTATTTTAAGTTGAACCATTACCAATAAAGCTGGCTTTGGGTTATTAAATTATGTCTGAAAGCCAATGCTATGAAGAAAGTGCTTAATACTGTGCTTCAATAACAAAACTGTTTGGCTGTTTACAAAATCACTCCCTCCTTCTCTCATCCCATCTTCCATCTACAATGTAATTGACGGGCAGGTACCTGGAAAGGATTATGCAAATTGGTAGACTTCCAATTAATTAATTCCAATGAACTGCTGATATAACCACTTGTATTCAGTGCAGGTTAGCTGAACCTAAAGTACAAACAGACAATATAAAGAATAGCTTTCACTAATAAATCAATAATGACTTGGGTTCAAATGAAACATCTGCTTTAAAACTCAATACAACTAACTGACCGTGATAACTGCCTCAAACCAATCTATTCAGTGGCAAACTCCCTAGAATATTATTATACCGACCCCTATAATAAAAAGTCCAAATGCCGCTGTGTGAAAAGTCCGTCCTGGATGAAGACATCATGACTATGGCAGCCTCCCGGTCACACTCAGTTAATCGTGGAACAACTCACGGCGCGACGCGCTTCTTCGTTCACCCATCATAGTTACAACTGTCAGCGCCGTGTGATGTCATACGACTGGACGGCACATACAACTCCCTCAGCTATATCACATTCCTACACACACTCACACACACACACGTTTTGTTTATTATACCTCTGTTTTGCTAATTACAGCTTGACACGTTTTTACGGACAGTTTTTGTGTTTCTTTGTGTGTGAATGCAGACATTTATTTACATGTGTGTGTCCGTGGTGACATCTCTATTAGCTCAGTGTTCCAGTGCCTGGGGGGGGGGCGACATTATGACTCCCACCGGCCTCTTATTGACCTTCTGTTCTACTGGGGGACACACACACACACAAACTATCCCTCCATCATTGAGACACACACACACATATATGTATGCAGGCCAACACGCACACACACACACACACACACATCCTACCCGATTTTAATTTCACACTCCAGCAGTCACCGTGGGCTGACAGATGACTCTCTCAGACGAACAGGAGGGGTAAGGGAGGTGCAGTCGGAGGGATTTTTTGGGGATGGGCGGGGTTTCAAGGGGATTCCGCTGTTTCTGATTGGCCCGTGGGCTTGCAGGGAGGTGGATGTGGAAGCCTGTTCGAATGCTTTTGGAGGGTGTGAGGAACTGGACTCGAGCACATCTGGAGTAGACGCTGAAGCTGCAATGCGGGGTGGATGATGACATCATCAATTAGGCGGCCTTGTGCTTTTTTTGTTGCCGTGTGGCACAGCAGCAGGTGGACAGAGGACAGTATGGAGCTGTAAGCAGGTGGACGGAGGTTTGAAAACAGCCTCTGTGCCTGCGTCGTCTATGGGAATTCCTCGTTTTTTTGTGGCTTTTCGGCAGAAGCATGTCTTGCATCTCGTGTCAGAGGAGGCTGGAGGAGGAGGAGGAGGAGTTTATGCTGGAGGATGTGTTGATGGGGAGCAAGTGGAAGGTGGTCACTCACAGCTGGGAGGAGGAGGAGGAGGAGGAGGAGGAAGAAGATGCAGACGCAGACTTTACAGTTGAGTCCATCTCGGTTTGATTCTATCAAGCTTTATCGGCACTACGGTCTTGTTTACGTTGATGAGAAGCCTTGTAGCTTCTCAGTTGGAATGCTGTTTAATAAAAAGTTAGAGCATACCAACTCACGCAAACTTTGAAATCACTCTCTGCTCAGCTTTGGTTCTGCTTTTGGTGGCTTTATTTGATGCCTCTGGAGTTGATAGTTCACGTTTTAGTTTTCAGTCGGTTGTAACTTTGTGTCGGATATTTTGTATAATTTTTTTGTTGAAACTAAATCAGCTTCTTTCAGCTTGTTTTGTAATACTGGTGACCGCATTTGAAATATTCCAAAAGATAATTAAGTGTGTTTCAGAGGTCGATGACGAATACATTAATTATTCAATCTTTTTGTAATCAGTCAACTACTGTGGGTGTTTTTTGTCTGTAGCTGGTTAATAATTCAGACTTCTTAATGAGTCATCAGGCGATGTTCTACTGGTGGATCTGACAGTGTGATGTATACTTTTGGATCAGTTAATAATGAAGAAGTAAATGGGCAAAAAGCCTTTTAGAATATACTGAAAAAACGTGTACTTTACTACATTTAGTGCCTTTAGATGATCTGCAACTGTCATTAGGATTTATGAATGGTGCCTTCACTGCTTGGTTGTGACATCTGTTGGTCATCCAGATGTTTTCGTCATCAGATCAACCCTTCCATATCTGGACAGTGATCTAAAATCTTTTAGGCTGGTGTTGCTTAAAGGGGCAGTTCACCAAGTGACAATGAAGATACTCTTGGTTTCCTCCAGGGGTTATAATATGGACATCTATTTTACATTTTAAAAATTTAACTGTATATATCATAGTATATAAGATCAAATAGATATGTTATCTGAGCATTACATTAACCAACCATTCATTTAAGTAATAACCCTCAATCTAATAATCCTTTAGATGCAGACACACAGAGATTTTGTAACAAACACACACATTGCTGTATAAACAGTGAAAGAAAAGAGTCTCTTGACACATTAAAACCATTTACTGTCACATATTGATAACCTTGGCTCAATTCCCTATGGTTCTGAATTAGCAGTCAGATAATGGAAGTTAATTGAATTTATTTTATGGAGGAAAAACATAAATTCTAACCATGTTTCTTAGGCTCTCTGTTTGTAACCCTGAAGTGTTCCTGTTGTGACAATGCTAAACGAACAGGACTCACACATCGTTGTCCAAGATCACTTATCAGGTGCTTTAGTTATAAGAAATGTCCGTTTTTATCTGTCCACTACTTCTGCTCCTGACATGCCTCTGTCCTTTGCCTTTGTCCTTCTTCCTTATCCTTTTTCTTTATTCATCCATTTCTTTTTCCTCTCCTCATGTCATGACCCCATTACAGAGCTCGCAGGAGGCCTCCTCACCTCTCCTCCTTCTGTCCTCCTCTGCTCCTGCTCTCATCTTTAATCTCTCCTTCACCCCATCTCCTCCGTCCCTCTCTTCTCACCACAGCACGTCTTCTCTTCATCTACCCTCATCCATCCTTGTCACAGGGGGGCCATAGTGACCTGCCTGGCGGTCACTATGGCAACCTGCATCCAGGCCATCCCTTGCTGGAACCCCAGGGAGACCCTGTTAGACCCCTATGGGTCACCTGAGGGCGAGGGAGAGGCAGATTGCAAACTCAGCTCTGGTGATCTGTCACTGCGATATGTTGATGGTTCACTCTGGACCCTCAGCATGTTTATCACACACAGCTGAAAACATCTGGCTTTAATTGGCTCTTAGATGGACTCAGGTGGAAACATCACCTGCTTGGAGAAAGTGATGAGTGCTCCTGGGTGTGCTCCACAATAGGTGACGTCACCTCGGGGATGAGAGTAGCCTGTAGAACAATAGCACACAATGCTCGATCTTCGTGAATGTTGTGCATGTTTTCTTTGCAACAGTAGGTTCACTCTTGACCTTAACAGCTTTTTTTTCGTATAAAATGTTTGGTTGAAACCATAAGCGTGAGTATATTTTTGAATTCTCTGTGGTTTTGACCTAACCAATTTATTCCACAAATATTTGTTTTAAATAAACTGTCACACAATTAAAGACAAAAAAAACCTTACATTTATTGGCTAACATTTTTAAAATGTTTTATCAGTTGCAAACGTGAATTCAATAGAAAACATATAACCTTTAAGTATAAATGTTTGAAAAATCTTTCAGAATGCTATAATTGTATTTTCATACTTTTGTTTATCACTTTATCAGACAATGTGTCCTAAATATCAATATTGGGGAAATGTTGAAGACCAATTATTAGATTACCAAGTGGGAGATGATTATGTAAAGAAATTCACCAATAACAAATATAAACCACATCGCAAATCGCAGACAAAATGATTTCAAAGTTGACAAACAAATAAGAGCAATATAATGGAAAACATTGCCTTAAAAGTCGGGAACAATAAAACACTAACATGAACAATGATAAGTAATAAATTATCTGCATAATAATATATTCCATGTGCGCCGGCACAATATATTTGTAATAAAGTGAAATCTACAGACAGCATCAAACAGTACACATGCATATGAGCTGTGGAAGCACATTTCCTATAGGTTAACCCCACCAGGGAATCTCTTCCACATTAGACATGCAGACTGAATACACAGTCTGTCACACACACACACACACACACACACACACACACACACACACACACACACACACACACACACTATGACTGCTTAATTAGCCGCTGCGCTGTGGGGGTCCATTTCTCAGCTGTCCATTACTCACTGATCACTGGCCTGTATACTCACCTCACACACACACGCACACACTCTGTCTCCTTCACGCTGACGTATATTCACTCTAATACATATTTAGCGTGCACATACAGTATATAGACCCCCCCCTCCGCTTCAGTTTTCATTACAGATATGAATAATTCAGGAGGGGGTCTGGGCGTCTGTCAGCATGGCTCTGCTAGACAAACAGCCACGAGCTGCCCATGCTTTGTTTATGAACCCTGCCTCCACTCTGTTAGCCTGTCTGCCACACACATACAGTACATACATTATAGATACATACATACATGCTGCCTTCACACACACACCCACATTTCCCCCCTGAGATTGAAACATGTTTTACAGTGGGTGGTTTGTAATTGTTAAAGCTTCCACTCTGCACACCAACACGTACACACACTTTACTTCCAGCCCATCTCTTCCCGCGGATCAGCGTTTGCTCCAGATGCGCTTCCAGTGGATTGCTGGGTAAATTGCTCTGTCCACACACTGACAGACATTTCACGGTGGATATCAGGAAGCGAGGCGGAGGTCGTTCTGATTTAGATTACCTCTCAGGTGTCACCGATGGAAGGACTCCAATGACCATTTGTCCTCAAACTGTTTGTCCTTCACCAAACAAGACACATTTTCTGCACAGATTCAAGGTCAAACATGCTTTCGTGGTGATAAGTTATTAAAATATGATTAAAAATAATGAATAGATATTTGTATGTCGAAGCTTCCATTAAAAAAAGCTATTTAAGGACTTTCATTACAATCTCTCAAAAGAAAAAGAAAATGTGACAATAAAGAATGAAAAGGTGAACTGTTTCTCTCATGTTAACTCTTCTACTGTTGTGTTGTTTTCTTTGTGTGTCCAGGCTCACGAGCGCTCAGAGAGTGTGGAGGTTACCTTTGTCACGCAACTGGTCAGGAAGCTGATGATCATCATCGCCCGACCTGCACGTCTGCTGGAGTGCCTGGTGAGAGGAACACGTCGCTGTTGAATGTCACATATTCACTGACTGGTCATATTATTAAAACACACACAACGTCTGTCATTTACTTTGTAGCATGCTTCTCACCACTGCTACAGACTACAGGCTCCAGACTTCATTAGCATGCAAATCTCTGACTAAAGTGTCACTTGCATTGTGGGTATTTTAGCTGCCAGGTTTTGATAAAGCCTGGAATACTGTAAGGATATCCCTCTAATGCCTCATTGATTCTTATACTCTTAATTGATGATCTTCTACTTCATAAATATATTTTTGCTACGTTTCAGAGGAAAATCTTTTACATTTGACTACACTACATTGATCAGACAGCTGGGGCTGGTAACACAAAAAGCAGTTCATCAGCTTGCAAATGTGATTTTCCAGAATAGACTACAAACTGTAGTAAAAGTTAGCTCCACATTGGCCAACTGCGGCTTACACAATGATACACCAGCACCAAATATCCAGTTAGATAGATAGAAGATAGTCAAGATATATACCAAGAGTAGTTGTTCCTATGTAATACTTACAATTATTTGTGTAATACAGGTAATACCTGAATTTGTATATAGGACTTGCACCAAATCAATCATATTCATATATCCCAATGTCACAATACATATTTGTCTCAGCATGCTTTACAGATCAACAAACATGAATGAAAATTACAAAAATATAAGAAAATAATAAGAAAAAATGTAATCTATAATTGAATGAAATAAAATTACAACAACAAGAAAAAAAGCATAACATCTAGGACCCAGGAGGAAGGAAGCTTGAAACCAGCCCTAACTACAGTATAGGCTTTATCAGGCAAGAGAATATTTTTATCATAATGAACATACATGTATAGAATAATACAAAAGGCAGAAAAGCAAGATTAAACCATCAATAAAGCAACAATAAGCGCAACATATTGGGATACAATCGACTAAAAGAGGATATTTACAGCACAATTACACACACAAGTAAGCCTTATTGTAAATTAGACATACATGTTCATTTTTATCTTGTGTCATTTTGATTAAGTGGAGAAATTGTCATGTCTTGTTTTCTTACGTGCTTTAATCAGCCTGGCCCTGGTTGGTTATCCTCACCAGCTGCATAAAGTAGTTTCACATTGTAATCACACGACTGCGGTGTGGTGTAAATTAGTCCATTTGAAAGATTACGATGAAATAAATATTAACTGGAAATAGCTTTTTCATATTGTAAAGCTTGACTCCACGCATGGTTAATAAACAATTTAGAGCTTCCTGCTCCCGGCTGTGAAATGATTCAACCACAGCAATTCATTTATGGACTTCCACTGAGCATTTTAAATCAGCCTGATGTACACACACACACACACACACACACACACACACACACACACACACACACACACACACACACACACACACACACACACACACACACACACACACACACGCGCGCAGTTTTGTATATGAATACCAGAGGCTCTTTCTCCTACCACCATGCAGAGCTCCATCAGTTTGTGTTATGATGGTGCACATCTGTGGCCTAACAGGTGAATCTAACCTTGTGTGAGCCCTGAAAGGAGAGAAGGAAAGGAGGGGGAAACAAACAAGTGTAGAAGACAAGGGTAATTGGAGGAGCAGTGGAGGGTGAGGGAGAAGAGAAAAGGGAAGGGAAGAGAAGAGGGGAGGTGTGGAATGCCCGGTGCTGACATTGGTACTTTTGACTAATCACATGCTGCTGAAGCTGTGACACCACACAGGATGGGTTTTTACAAATGAAAGCGCACAGATAGAACACCGGTGGTCTATATGTCTTTGTCAAAAAACATAGGAGTTAAATTGGGGTGTGCAAGAACAAAAGTATGTCCTCCTCTCATTCCTTTGTCCTTATCCCGTCACAGGTCCTTGAAAAGCCTGAAATGACGATATTCATGCATCTCAAACAGTACGGTGGTGGTCTTTGTTTTTGTTCTAGCTTGGAGGTTCAGCTCAGAATCTAAAATGGCGTGAGATAAATATAAAAACCGATAAGAAGATTTTTATTGCAAATGGGTTTATTTTTTAATTGAAAAAGTTAAACTTGTTATTCTATTAAGCAATTAAACAGTGACTGAGAGTTAGCACAATTCATGAACAAAAAGACAATTCTTGGCAACTTTGATCATGCTCAATGCCATCTTTCACATCTTGAAGCCTTAAGGAGACAAGTATTAGGATATTAAAGATGCTCTTTAAAATACAATTATAATGTCTAAGACCACCACCACTGGCTCGGAATAAGATTAGGGCCACCAGATCTGACACGTATTTTAATTATTAGATTAAAGTCAGAATTCAGAATTGTAATTTACAAGAAAGTTAGCATAGAGACTGACTTGCCAACCTGATGCAGCTGTCCAGCATCTCATCTTATTTTCGAAAATAAACAGCCTTAAATCCAGCTAGATTTAAAAATGGGGTACTAAAACGTGACGTAACAAATTATTTCACAAGCTTAAATATTTGCCTTTAACTTTTCCGTTTGTCCCCTCCCCTCCTGCCTCCAGGAGTTTGATCCTGAGGAGTTCTACCACTTGTTGGAGGCAGCAGAGGGCCATGCTAAAGAGGGCCAGGGCATCAAGACGGACATCCCCCGCTACATCATCAGCCAGCTGGGCCTCACCAGGGACCCCCTGGAGGGTAACGCACTCTCAAACTCAACATTTTATTATTATTTGTTAATATATTTCTGTCTCAGTTTGTAACTGATCCTTAGCCGCGTTCACACCGCAGTACTTTTCCAACTTTAGTTCCGATATAGTTCCGAAATGTCGCGTTCACACCAAAAAGAGCCGGAACTCAAATTAGTTCATGAGAACCTTTTTACCCCCTTTTCCGTCCCTGCTAGAGAGCAGGAACTTTCGTGGGAGAAAAAGTTTCCTATGTCTGATTGGCTGGGCGGATTGCAAATCACACCACGTAAAACTCCCGCTGCCATTTTATTATCCTCGCATTAGCATTATTAGCATTAGCCCAGCGCAGAGAGACCAATTTATGGCAACACAAAAGAAAACATGGGAGCGGTGGAGATGAGGAGGTGTCGACGTTCTGACGATTTACTCGGAAGGCTTCAGTAGACGCTGCTGGGAGTCCCAGCTGCTGGGAGTCCCAGCAGCGTCTACTGTAGCCAGTCTCCAACTCCAGGGACTTCCGGCCGGGGACTCCGGGTGGCAGTATACGCCGTGAAGTTGTTTGCGGCCTGCCAGTAAAGAAGAAGCAGAAGAAGAAGAAGTGACGTCAGTGGCTTCATTTGGCTAATCCCCCCTCGGGGATTTATTCCGGTGTGAACGCGATCTGTATTTAGTTCAAGTTCTCATGAACCTTTGTACTTAGTTCAAGTTCTCATGAACCTTTGTGGGAAAAGTACTGCGGTGTGAAAGCGCCTAATGCGTCTTATGCTAAGCTAGGCTAACCACATCCTGACTGCAGGTTTATACATCCTCTGCCCGAAAATATGTGTTTATGACCAGCTATGCAGCAAGCTAAACATTCAAACATTATTACCTTATTATGACTACCATATTTGATCTGCCAAGCAGTTTGAAAAATGTAAAAAGAACTGCCTATATTTCCTTGAGACAACTGTGTAAACAATATTGATTAACAACTCAAACGACAGTGATTTAACCCTCCTGTTGTGTTCGGTTCAAATCTGACCGATTTACTACTTTCATCAATCATAACTTTTTTGTTTTAGATTCAATTGCATTAATATCCTTCACAGTAGACATTTGAACATATACAATTGCTGATCACCACTTTCATTACATTTTGGACAATTTAATCAACTTTGTAACACCCATGGTGTTCCCGGTCCGCTATAAAGAAATGGAATTAGTAACCATCCAGATCAGGTAACACACGGCACACACACAAAGGCTGCCTTGGATTTATTAACAATAAAAGATATATAGATTTTACCTTCCTCATACATCTGAACCCAGCTGTTGACAATTGTTACATAACCTCCGCACTCCTCCTTATTCATAACACATAACAGAAATGTCCAGATGAAATGTGATGATTTAATGGGAAACACACACACACACACACACACACACACACACACACACACACACACACACACACACACACACACACACACACACACACACAGACACAAACAGACACACACACACACACACACACACACACACACAGAGACAGACACACACACACACACACACACAGACAGACAGACAGACAGACACACANTATTACATATTTATATATATATATATATATATATATATATATTACATATTTATAGAGTCTAAGAAACAAAAAGCCCACCAATTATAAAAAAATTTGTTTAACTTATTTGTATTATTGAAGCCATTCATAAATGAAAAATAGTAATGGCTTTTGTTGTTTTGAGCTAGTCTAGCATGAACATTTTTTCTCCTTAGGTTTTCCTTTGTGTGTTTGAATTATTGCAATTATCAGTTGATATACCTTTTCTTTAAATATAAAAACGTATTTTAAACACTCGTCAAACCGCATTTGTTAGGGACCATGAGCTTGATAAAGAAATTAGCAACTGCAAGTATTGCAACAAGAATCCATTTGATATAAGAATGGTTTCACAGTTAATCCTGCATTTCTAAAGTTTCACACCCTGTCATGCACCCTTACTTTCCCATCTCTGAGGCTGAAACTATTACAGTTATTCATTCATTTCATTATACATAAAATGTCAACACTCACAAATAAGGGCCACACTAATAAGTGGAGTTTATATATACGTTTCATTTTTATATGAAAGGTGTTTCATATGAAATCTCATTACAGTCAACTATGGGCTTACGGCAGCTACAATACATAATAACCATAAATGTGACCCAGATTTTATAATGATTGATACTTAGAATAAGTATAATTCACAAAAGCATCAGCTCTTTACAGCCTCATTAGGACATAACCAAATGTTATGTTACAACATTGGATGCAAGGAGGAGTTACAACAAATGTTAGAACTAATATTGCTTGGTGGGTAAAAAATAACTTCCTTGAGATAAAGGACATTTTAACAAAACCCCTTCTTATGTGTGTGTGTGTGTGAGAGAGAGAGAGAGAGAGAGAGAGAGACAGAGAGAGAGACAAAGAGAGAGAGACAGAGAGAGAGAGACAGAGAGAGACAGTGTGTGTGTGTGTGTGTGTGTGTGTGTGTGTGCATGCATGTGTAAGTGTGTTTGTGGGCGGTGTGACTGACAGGCTGGCGCGTTCCATTATTTCCTGAGCAGGAAATGAGAAGTGTTGGGCTGTCAGTGAGCCGAGCACAAACACACACTGTCAACAAGTATCTCTCCCTCTCTCCGTGAGTCAGATATGATTGTCGATATTTTAACATCTTTCATATCCATCATGCCGTCTTTCTCTCCTCCCATTCAGTCGCTGTCACCAATTCATTTTTTATTCCAGCCCTCCAATCTATATTTCTACTCTGTCGCTCGCTCCCCCTCAGTCCCCATCAATCAATATTGCTGTCGTTCATCTATTTTCCATCTCTGCCTCTCTTTACATCTGAAGGGTGGAGGGGCTATAGTGGGTGGGTTGCTGGAGGTGGAATTGGGGGTTTTGTGTGCTTGTGTCTTACATGCTGTCAAACGTGTTCGACAAAAATTCTGTCAGCACGCATTTCATTTGTCACTACACACACAAACACATACGTAGTAGCACACATATCAAATGTGCTTCGACAGATGTTCAATAATGTGTGTGTGGGGACAAATGTGCTCTGAGATGATGTGTTTAACACAGCTGACCTGAGATGCATTACAAGCGTCAAAAGATTAACAGATTTGTATGTATGGATATCAAAAACTGTGAAAAAATACAATTAAAATATCAGAGAGCTCAGTTCAAACTTTTAGATATTAACTTAAAATGTTATATTCATATTTGTATTTTGTGCTTTTCTGTGACATTTTTACATGCTTTGATGTTCAGCAAGTCTTTATTGTTCTCATACTGCCTGTGCTGCAGCACTTCTTTTCACCCTCTGTCTGAAACCAGAGCCCAGTCTGCTCTGATTGGTTGGCTGGCCGGCTCTGTCGGCCCTTAGCAAATCACATACCCCAAAATAAATAATTATAATGTTTGGATTCGACTGTCAAAGCGGCTAAGTTGCTGTTTACACCCAATTGCGTCCAAAATGTTATCAACTTATCATTTTGGCCTGTTGGACATTTGTGTGAAATAGTCATATTTACTATATGCATTTTTGAGTGAGTTAAATGAATTGCACGTTTTATAAATTAGCAACCCTGCTCTTAAGACTGGTATGGACCTAAAACCTAATAAGTTTATCGTTGAGACAAAATGGGCGATTGTGCCAGACATTCCTGACATATCATGGTAACAAAAGTGGTATGGATGGAAAGCCTGAAAACAGGATGCCTCTAGCCACAGATGTTGCGGAGCCAGCAAATCCCCACATTTGAAAGGTTGGAGACAACCCAATGTTTTGCACTTGATAAGTACCTTAAACTTTCTACTACCGGTAACTTAGACAATTGGACCAAGAGTCCAACCAATACAATAACTGATGGTGGATGCAGATAAAGATAGTATAGCTACACGTTTGTTAAAGGCTCCATCAAATGTAGACTTTAAAGTGTAGTGGTCAGGATGTGTAGGGGTGGGACATTTTACGGTTAAAATATAAAACTTGTCAGCGCTTTCAGATATATTGTGATACGCTACATATCAGGCGGCTATGCAATATATCAATCAGGCTCGTGCAGCAATGTTAGTATCAATTTGTCCCGAACTGAATTTATATTATCTGTTTATTCCCACATGGCCAAAATCAATCTGTTTAAGAAGAGCACGTGTTGGCAGCTTTATGACACTCTACATTTACGGGGAACAGTACGTTATGTTAACAGCTGAAGGTGGAGGTCGTTGTGTCATTCAAATAACAACTGAAAATAAACCTGACACATTTAAGTCATTCTTCAAGACCTTAACAGTCTGCAGCCTACAGAATGTCGGCTTGTGCATTCATTGAAGAAATCAACTACCTCACTGTGTCGTGCTCAGTGTGCAGTCTCAGCTGTTGATTGAGCTTTGTTGGTGTGTGATTCTAAACAACACGACTTCATGTAACACACGTCACCTGCTGTTGCTTCAAACACCCTTTAGCAAGAAATTAAAATCGTTAAAAAAGAAAGATTCTTGTTTTCTTGTAATTTTTTTTAACAATGCTACCAATGGTGACCAAAGATGGTGACGTCTGTGTGTTCAACACATCAAAGGAGATACTGTATACCGACTACTGCTTGGCAATATGCTATACAAATGTGTGGCTATTCAATGTCCCCACAGGAAGAATTAAAGCTCATCTATTATGCTATATTTGAACAATTTATGTAGGGCCATATCTCTACAAAACATGTCTCGGAAGTGTTTTGCTCAAAATATCAAACAGATCACCCATTGTACTGTAGCATGCCTCGTACCCCTCCATTTCAGCCCTGTTACAAAAGTGCTGAGTCTACTCCTGTTTTTAGAGATGTGGGTAAGGAGGAAAAGAGAGAGGGTTGTACTTTCTGACCCTTTGTGACTCACAAAGGGTCAGAAAGTACAACCCTCACAAATTGTGAGTGTCCTTACACACAGAGGACACATATTTATGTATAAAATACATCAAAAAGTGCATTTTGCATAATAGGTGACTAATTTAAAGTGTGACATTTTTTTATTTGAAAAGGAAATGTTTAAATAGCTTAGTTATGTGTTGCCGGTTGCAAGAGTTCCCCACAAATTGACTGGCAAAGGTCTGCCGTACGATGCAAAATAACATCATCCATTGCTCTTTGGCTGGCTGGTGAGAAGGGAGCTTGAAAAATAGTTTTCATTTGTTTTAAAGCTGCTTATTAATAACTCTTACTGTTTCAAGTGTCAGAGCGAATACAGATATTTGTGTGTGTATGTGTGTGTGTGTGTGTGTGTGTGTGTGTGTGTGTGTGTGTGTGTGTGTGTGTGTGTTACCTGTGTGTCCATGCAGAGGGGAGTGTGGTCGTGGCAGCGTCGGCGAGGTGCTGGATGTCACAATAAGGCTCTTCCTGTTGCTCGTCCGACAGCTGTGTGCAAAAAACGAGCTCAGATTAGTGAATCTTCAACGTTTGGATGTTAAAATCAATAAAGTAGAGAAGTGTATTGTCTGCAAAAAACTGGAACAGCAAGAATTCCAAGGAGCTTTGCAATGAAGCAAACACAGATTTGTTATCACTGATGTTGTAAAGCTGGTTTCTATTCTTATGACAATTTTCCGCATTGGGTAAAGAAAACAGTCACTTGTCTGACACAGGTTAGGTATACACAACTCTCACAATGTCCTGAATGCAAAGGTCTTTCATTTGTAACGTTTACAAACGTGTCCAAAACCCCCCCCACTCCTCTGTGTCAGTAACAGCAGGTGTCAACTCTGGCCGTCAGACACACATTTGATCAAATTAGACTACGTATAGGTGTGTGTGCAGCTTTCACGGATGTTACAATTGAACTGCAACGAGAGCTGTGTTCCTCACTCTGTCCTTCACACCAGAGGACAATGAGGAGGACACACAAACACATCAGGTAGTGGCAATCACAGATGCAACTGTGCAACACACAGCCAGCGTCTTTCAGCTCACCTTCAGCAAGTCAAATACTTGTGTTTTGTACAAATGTTCTAGTACAAAGAAGCTAAAATGCTGCAGCCAATACCCTTAGGAATAATGATAATGATACCAAACAGATGAGGCACTCAGTCAGTTTCTAATAGCAATATGAACACTGGGTACGGTAGCCCGGACTGGACAATTACTGTAATTTGTCACCGATCTTCAAGAGGAGACAACAGCACCAATTTCAAAGTGACATGACATTTTAATTACACAATATGCACATCTATCTACTAAACACATGATTATAGACGATGCCGTTGAAACAGCATTACTCTATAATTCATCTTAATCCATTGTATGAATTTTCATCTGGGCATAATTAAATGTTCTTGGTCCTTAACGTTATTTAAGCATCCAGATACATGTTTTGTCTTATTCTATGTTTTTTTTTAGCTTGATCATGAAAGAAACTGTATTTGTTTCGGCTGGAAAAATGTGAATATTATACTAGGAATAGGTTGTCAGTAAATTCAGCTTTTAGAAAACGTCTATTCTATTAGAAAATGTTGACCCAGGCTCAACTGCTAATGGCTGTAGAGTCATTATGATGGTGATCCTGCAGTAAGATGGTTACACTCCAGCTCCCCTCTGGGCTGAGATGACTGTTTGTTGTGTATATGTATATCTGTGTGTGGGGGTGTGCACACACTTCTCTGCAAAAGAGGTTTGTGGAGAAAAAAGCAATCTGCTTTAAAGCTGTGACATCCATCCCCAGACAGATGGGAAGAGGAGGAGTTGAAGCGCAGCCTTCACACCTAACAGCTCCAACGCAAGCGCAGGTCGAGCTCTCAGGATTTTCCCACTTTCTTGTTTGCTCTGAAGCCCCGAGCGGAGCATGTGCGTAATGACTTCAGGCGAGGCTTGTTACATTTAGAGGAAATGACAGATGGAAAAGTTCACTTTCATGCCTGCCTGGGACGAAGTTTATCCAAAGTAACATAATTCTACAGCTGCCACCTCTTTATTCCAAAAACATACTTGCAGAGTATAATGAAATGTAACAGAGGCTCTATTGTCAGTGTAAACCATCACAACTTCAACCCAAATAGTGAGCCAGTCATTACATCTGAATGGTCTTCCTCAGGGATCTATACTGGGCCCTTTCCTGTTCATTACGTACTGTATAATGATGAAATTGCACAAAACAATGTCTCTAATCGGCTGATAGCACTGTCTCATATTGTGTCTCAGCCTGGGTGCTGCTTCACTTCAACAATCTCCAATTAGCAACTCTTACATTTTCATTTGATTTGAATGCAGACAAAATAAATCTTTGTTGCAGAAAGATGAGAAGCCACATCCCGATTTAAATTGGTTCCTTTTTTGTTGCACTTGTGTTGATGAAGTTTAGAAATGTAAAACTGTTCTTGAGAATTCAGGGTATTATCAAACTATTTATTTATCTATTATGATAAATGTACTCAAAAAGATTAGACAGATGGGTACAGTAGGTGCAATACTATGTGCTATATACAGTCTATTTATAAAAAAACAATATGATTTCCTTTTTCTTCTGAATTCGACGGTCAAAGGCTGTCATTTTAATAAATAAATAAACAGGTATTCTCTATACCCTTTGGACATTACTCATTGAGCCCATAATTAACAACCTCATCCTTGAAGTATTTTAGTTTAGTGTCTGTCTGTGTCTATTTCTTTAACTTAAATAACGTATGTTCAAACTACTAAGAAAGTGGGTCGAACTCCTTCCTTGAGGAGTTACTGATTGTACTTCTCGAAATAAATTACACACTTCTGACAGATTCTTGCAGTAACGGCAGGTATGTTAACACTTACGGCATTTTTGTGGCGTTAATTGGCCCATCGCGTCTGCTTGCTGTAATTATGTAGTTGTGTAGCAAGTGTTTGTGACAGGACGAACGTGCCGAGATGATCACTAGACACGTGAAGCAATTAAGGCTGAAATCTTCGTTACAGTCGAATAATCAGCGTGACGCCTCGACATGTTTTTGGAGCTCTTTATCTTTTCTATATTTGTGATTTTTTATTCCTGTATCTGTGGGGAACATTTTGACATTCAAGGTTAATTTTGGCTTAGAATAAGGTAAGATTTAGGGTAAGGGGTGGCAAATGTTTTATTTTGTGTGTTTGCTTGCTACTGTACAAATATAAGCGTGCATGCAGGGGGACACCAAGAGTCTATGACAAGATTGTGTAAAATCCACATGCCCATGTGACAAATAGTTACTGCATGTGATATGGATGTGGCATGCAGTGTGTATGTGTGTGTCCTGCCATCTGTTGAGGTGTGAAGCATCAGCGGTTTGAGCATAGCATGTGGTCTACACACAAACACACTCCTGTATGACGGACGAGCTGCCATGTTGGATATTCAGTGATGTGTGTTCAGGGAATTTCATCGTCTGACACACAGACCCACATAAACACTAGAGTGATGTTTACTGCTTTCTCAATTTTCCAAAAAGTGTGATAGCAATCTGTACTTTCTCTGAACTCTGAGGCATTTGTGTTTAGTTTATAAGGATAGTTTGACTTTTAAAGACATTTCACTTCAGACTAATATCAGCTAAAACTGATATTATTTGAACCCTGGGAAAAATTAAATTTAATAGGACATTTTAATCTTCACACGCATGAACTTTACGCTCCCCTGCAGACACATTTCTCATTAGGAGCTGACCTGCTGTGCAACGACTGAAATACTCTCTAGCTTACCCTAGTAATGAATAGGAATGAATTATCTGGGATACAACACTGCCTCTATTTTGAGATCAAATATCCTTATATAATTTACAATAGCATACTTAGTTAATTTCTATGAATTTATGAGGAAACTGTCATTTAAATCATACAAGTTCAGGGACTTTGTTGTATTCACTTCATCTTGTAAGAGGTTTTGAGTAGAGATGTCCCGATCCGATCACGTGATCGGGGCCGATCACGTGGTTTTCAAAAGATCGGAATGGGGAGAAAAAAATGGGGGATCGGGAATATTTTTTTTATATATAAAATATTTGTATTAATTAATTTATTGTTACAAAACAAAAATGACCATGTTCACGTCTTAAAGTCATCCTGAGGCCTTAGTTTTGGTTTAAAATTACACAACATCATGTATGTGTTGCTTCTTTTTGGGCTTATTTCTCTCAAAATCTGGCAACAGAGTGGGCAGGGCGCAGTGTCTAAATAGTAGCAGTAAGCTAACGAGAGGCTACGTTCAGCTGAACGTAGCCTCTCGTTAGCTTACTGCTACTATTTAGACACTGCGCCCTGCCCACTCTGTTGCCAGATTTTGAGAGAAATAAGCCCAAAAAGAAGCAACANTTTTTGTCGGGTGTTTGACCAATTTAACTTATGTTGTAATTTTATTATATAATTTTTATTTCAATTTTTTTTTGGTTAATGATAAACAATAAATGTCGGACTATAATAAACATGTGTATAAAATATTTCAATTTTGATTATTACACCACATAAAACCATGCTGTAATATTTTTCATTGATTGACTTTGAGAGAGAGACAGAAAGACAGAAAGGGTCACACCACACACACATGTTCACAAACGACTTAACCTACACCTGGACAGACTGATAAACTAGTCTCAAGTGAGACAACAAAAAATAAAAACAAATAACAATACGGGTCGTTTTAATACATAATAACAATTATTTACAAACTAAAGCCAGATTAAAAACAAAGTTCCTACGTAAAAAGAGAAGAGTTGTGTCCCAAACAAATTAATGATGAGGTGATGATGTTGTTAATATTATCTCTCCATTGTAGACGTGTATCACATTTTGTGAAAATTCACTGTGTATTGTAAAACCCCGGGAATCGAACAGCATAACGTTTTTTAACGGAAACCAATATAACCCCTGGAGCGACATGTGACATGTCCTATTTCTTACATGTATCGTAACTTTATTGGAACTACGTACCCTTAATTGTGGTGTTTGATACCAAGGCCCGATATGACTATACAAGTCTAATATGCAAAGTCTGGGTGCGTTCAACTATGTAAAGTTATCTGCTACTATAAGGAATACGGAATCGGAATGCAAATTCGAGTATCTTCAGCATGTGTAAACGATGAAAACCCCTTTATTCCCGCTTGCAAGTAAATCTGATTTAACTGGTGGACAAGATTGTGATAAAGACTGTCGTCATTCGGCGAGGACTATCACAGTCTACTAGACCCGTCAGTATTATGCGCGTTTCATTGACGAATAAATACCTTGGCGCGTGAATGTAATATGCTCCTAAGACGAAACTACGAGTAAGCAGACTGTACGAAGACCTACTCCTTATTCTCAATCCCATACTAGGCTTTGACATCAACTAGTACGAATATTAATTGACTGGTCATAGTATTTACTATCCCATTAACTACCGCCTAAGGAATGGTGAGGCGGACGTGACACTTCAAATCCAT